TTTTAAGTCTGAAAGTGATAATCAAAACACTGGAAATTTTCGGCATGTGGTCTTAAGTTTAAAGTTCAGCTCAAGAACTTGACGCGTTTCCAAGACATCTCATTTCCAACTTTCACAGCTCACATGTTCCAGACACATACATACCGTTACACGTATGCATATGCACATACGCACACATACAGTACACATATGTTTGCAAAAACCCATGCACACAAAATATTTTTTGCCATCTTGCCCTCCTCCCCTCCCTCACCTCTTCCCCATATTTATGTAAAAATATTTAGAATTTGAACTGCAAATTAGAAGTAGCAAATAGCCTTTTGGGCAGCTGATCCGATATCTTTAGATGGTTAGACAGAAGATCTGAAAGGCAATGAAACCTAAGTCGTTGGCATTGCCTGCTCTGGTGACGCTGAAAGCAGTGGTAGATTTCCTTTTTTTTTAACAATTATAAATTGGAATCACTTTTTTGGAAAAAAAAAACCGCTTTATTTAAAACTCTTTTATATCATTAATTATTTAACGGTACCAGTTAGCCAAAAAATTAAATATTTTTCAGTACATCTTCAAACCCCATTTCCCTTTGTTCAAAAAACAGGAAAAGTCGAATTCCTCTGCTAGTTCAAATTGTATTAGAAATTTCGAACTTCAGGTCGCTTATGTTGAATATTCAACTCCATTATCGCAACAGTATTACATGCAAAATTCATACGGCGAGTATTATTCGCTTACTCAGCAAATTGATCGGTTCAAATTGGAATACTGGAGTGAGCTGAGATGCGAAACAGGCCTGCCGGGCCTTTACCTCTCAGGTATATGCCACAATGCAAATGAGTGACTTAGTGATTTACCAGAAAATGATCAGGATCCTTAGTACACTAAGGATTCTGAGCATCTTCTGGCAAACCACTTAGTGCACAAAGATAAAGTGTGAATCGAGGCGCAATATTTTTATTTGATAGTATGAAAGTTAGTTGAAACGTTGCCGAAATCATGGATACCGAGAAAGCCTGAGGAAATTCTTCAGGAGGAAGTTGTTCTAAAAAGCAAAAATTAGCTGTGTAATTTGCATCCGCTTCTTTTGTAGCCTGCTTTTTGAGCTAATGGCTGTTTTCCAAAGATTTGAGCAGGCAAAATCACAACAAACAAAACTGCATATTTCACAGTATCAAAGAACTCTAGCCGTTCAGAAGTGGCCCGAGAGGTAGCACTTCACAAAGCAACCACTCGTTGACAATTCCGTCGATAACGCCTACGAGAACCGCTAAGAAGCATTTCGCTGGTCTTCACTGTGGTATCAAAGAACTTTCAGGTGAAGATGTGATGTTCTGTGGAATTGGAAGTGTGCTTCAGAGTGGCCTTATCACTGCCGGTCGTATATTGAATCGCAATTTATACAAGGATTTGGAAGAGGCATATTCACTGCAGAAAAAAGACGATAAGAAAAAATGACTTTCTGCCCTAGCCAAAAGTTGTTCAAAAGGTAAGCTAATAAGAATGATTTTGAACGGCTCACAAAAAATGAGTACGACACATCTGATTCATTTAGGAGCTTAACAACATGAATGTAATATAGGTGTTCTGTTGTTACGATGGAAGTGGTGTGGAATAAAATACGAGATGTGTTGTTTACAATAAATTTCATGATCAAGAGTTCGACTATGAAAGTATTAATAACCAATTCCTCCCTCTAAAATCCGTTCATCTTTTCCATATAAATTGGTACTGGCATATGCGAGGTCAAATCCATCACCAGGTTGCTTCTAAGCAGACATCGAGGAGAACCATCAACAGCTTGCCAGCGGTAATTGTCGTTGGTACTTGCTACTACTGTCGGTACTAACCATCATGCCAGAGTGCCTTCAGCTGAGATTTTTACGTAAAATGAATTGCAAAGCAGCTTTTGATTGCCAATTTTCATATTTCGGCATTTTTGTACGTTTCGCTTGAAGAGTTAACTGTTTCAAATTTCTTGCACAACAGTATTTAGGACTTTCAGTTGTAAATGCACTAGTGCATTGCAAAGCCACTAGCGCACCTGGATGCCCGTGCGGCTCTGTAATGCACCACCTTCATCCCAACTGACGCCCTTCCTCCTGCATGCCGGAAAGG